TGCTTCCTCAGACGCTCTCAAATTTGGAAAACGCATGTACCTCAACCCGCTGCCAACCTGTGCCAACAGCAATAAAATAATTAAAATCGATAAGAGAGCATGCTAAGATTCAGTAACAGTCAATCAGAGGCATTAGCCTAAATGCCCTAAAGTCATGGACTGGGAATATTCAACAGATACAGTTTATGCTGCAAGTTTTATTGCAGACTTCAAGCTATTTGACGAGGCAATTACATCTGTCTGCTCTTCTTTTGTAAATTTGATGGTAATGGCACAATGTGGTGGCATTGTTGTGTGTTTGCGGTGAGTGTGTGTGGGGTGGGGGGTTAAGCATACTAATTCCTACATTTAATTGTACAAAATAAATTGGGTTGATTGCATGTGTTGAGCGGATGTGACCCTTTGACTTTTGTTTTCGTAGCCTTTTATTTGCGTAGTTAGGTAGATTCAGTGGTGCACGAGCAAAATAATACACCAACTGGTTTAAGTAACAGATGTATGAATCGGGAAATTTTCCAGATGGTGAAATGATGTGAAATTTTGAGAAAAAATTAACTATATTCGTTAAAATTGTTATTGAACTTTGATATACTTGGGAGAACACAGATTTATGTTATGGTTTTGTTCAAAAACTTGCAAGAGCATTATCTTGTGAGTGAAATTGGAAACATCATGTTTCATTGGAGACCGAGTAAATTCTCAATGACCATACATGGTATGGAAAGAAAGAGGGGAGAAAGACGACAGAAGTTTAAATTCTACGTGGACTTAATTATAGAAATAGAAGAAATTTATGAAAAAAACGAAGTTTGTGCCCTGCCCTAAGAAAAGTTCATGTTGTACTAAAAAAATATTCGATTTTGTGCATCTCCATTGTCCTAGTTTATGATGTATTTTTTCTTGTAGATGCTATATTGAGAGCCACTTGCATTTCTTCTTGAGGACCACTACCTCTGTTTAAGTTTATATCATTTATGACTTGATTAGGACATCAGGGAAAAGTGGGACGAGATTCTTCCATTATTTTTCCGCCATAAGAGCGGTGTATTCTTCATATTCCTTTTGTTATAAGATAATATGTCAATGCTAATTCGATATTTTTACCTTGTTTGTGCAGATGTGAGCTATTTGATACAACCGTTGATCAGTATGTTAGAGGGCTTGGTTGATACGAATGGGTCATTGATGCTTCTAAGTTTCAACTGTTAATGCTATAAGCTTGGAGAAAATGAACATTCTGCTGCTGCACAAGAAATGATTATCTAGTTCTCTTTTGGCAGGTTACAGTATCTGCTTTAGTCATAGATTTGAGTCATGCATATAATTGGACTTGTTAATTGATTCTTATCAATCAAATTCTGAATTTAATCCTAAAAATTGTGTCCATCTTGCCGCGCTTCGCAGGTATATGTCCCTCATTGTTGCTTGAAAGGTAAATCATATGTGGACAACAAAATTGTTGTTGGTGATGTTTTCTTTTTCATTATTGCATTTAATCAGATAATCACTGCAGCCTAGGACCAAATTCTGTTTTGGGTTTGACTATGATAAAAGAAAATGGAAGTATGAAAATTCTTTTTATTGTTTATACTCTTTTTCTACGCATTTCCATCTAGTCATAAAAGGTAAATTTATTTTCAGAGGTGACGTTTGAATGGCTAGGTAACGGGCCCACTTAGTCCAGTACTTGAAGTTTATGTAGTTGGAATTTAAAATTACATTTTGTTATATGACTGAAACAAGATAAATTGCAAGATAAAATAAAGCAATCACAAATAAGAACACCAAGATTTTATATGGAAATCCAAGATGGGAAAAAATAACTGGTAGAAGAGGAAAATTCACTAGATTAAAATTAAAATCAATGATTGTTGTTACAAGATTTGATGCACTCTCAACCAAATTTAATATGTTTCTCATGATATGAAGAGTCTACAAGTCGTGTAATCTATATGCAACTCCTAAAATAGTGTTTGGAATGGAATATGTATTTAAAAATGCGTAAAAAAAAAATCGAAAAACAGGTCTGGTCGGATAAGATAGTTGTTCGAGCGGTGTGCCTCGCGCGCAGCCAGCGGCTGCACTGGCATTCGAGACTAGGCTCACGCTCTGCGAGTGCTAGAAACCCTGTTTTGGGCGCTCGAGTGGAAATTGGACGTTCAACGAGTAAAAGTGTGACGACTTTTTTTCCTTAGTCTATATTTGGACTCCTTCAAGATCTCTTCATCCGAAAATCAATTACCTTTCAATCAAAACACCAATTCTTAATAGAATTTGGGTCACAACTCAACACATTCAGTAACTTAGACACATTAACTCAACTAAGGATTGTTCCCCTCGAATGTCCTCTAGGGAACATATGTAGAGCATGTTTGGCAAAACTAGAATAGTTAACGCAAAAGTAAACAAGTTCTAAACAAAAATAATATTTATTGATCAAAATTGAAAGAGCAATGCTACATTTATCGAAAATGGGTGACATACACTTTGACCGAACACTCACAATAGGGGGAGGGCCCACATTTTTTTGAATTTTTTTATTCATGAGGGGCCCGCATGCATGTGAGAGATTGTCAAACTCATTGTTAACCATTTTCGGTACAAATGGAAAAACCCTAGCTTTAAATGCATGTTTGGTGCATCTATCCACAGTAATGCACATGCTCTGCCCAAATCGCCAAACGAATCACTTAACATTACCTTAAATTTCTTTACCGAAAATGGTTGACAAACACTTTGATCAAACACTCACAATAGGGGGAGGGCCTACATTTTTTTGAATTTTTTTATTCATGAGAGGCCCGCACGCATGTGAGAGATTGTCAAACTCATTATTAACCATTTTCCGTACAAATGGAAAAACCCTAGCTTTAAATGCATGTTTGGTGCATTTGTCCACAGTAATGCACATGCTCTGTCCACCTCGTTTAATGCACATGCTCTGTCAACCTCGCCAAACGAATCACTTGACATTACCTTAAATTTCTTTACCTACCCACGCTCACCTCCTCTCTTGCATTAACTAACCGGTTGGAAAGGTTATATAATAATGAGTAACCACAAATAAAGATACTTCTCAAATTGATCTTTATCTTACTGGTTAATGTTTTGCGCACTCCTTTTGGTTCCGAAAGTGCTTATTTTCTGATCAAAAATTGCCAGAAACCAAATAATCAAAAATGGCTGATACTTCTCTTACCGTTTTCATGTATCCATGGTTTGCCATGGGTCATCTTACCCCTTATCTTCATATAGCCAACAAACTTGCAGCCAGAGGCCATAAAGTTTTCCTTGTTGTCCCTCCTAAAACACTATCCAATTTGGAAAAATCCAATGTTCATCCGGATCTCATCAAGTTGCTAACCCTCCCCCTTCCACACGTTGAAGGCCTCCCGCCTCAAGTTGAATCCAGCACGGAAATTCCTATTCAAGTGCAGCCTTTCCTCCGGCACGCCATGGATCTAACAGAACCCACCATCGAATCTTTACTCCAAGAAACCAAACCCCATTTTATCTTCTTTGATTTGATGCATTGGGTGCCCAATTTGTCGCGACGTTTAGGCATCAAAGCAATTCACTTTTCCGTCGTAAGCCCTGCATCTATGGGTTTCTTGTTATCTGAAGGACCATTAATCGAGTCTCTCATGAACGGTCCTTCAGGTTTTCCTCCATCTATCAAGCTCTATAAACATGTCGCCCGTCTGCTTCAGTTTCTTGATAGTGAACAGGAAGTTGGCAGTGGCTTGACAATGAAGCAGAGGTTGATCACTTCAATTTGTGAGTCTGATGCCATTGGTTTCAAGACTTGTAGAGAAACTGAAGGGTCATATATTGAATATATTGAAAATAACTTCAAGAAGCCAGTCTTACTTGCAGGGCCAGTTATTCCAAAACAACCATCTTCTTCCCTAGAGGAGAAGTGGATGAAATGGCTCGAGAAATTCAGACCCAAAAGCGTGATTTACTGCGCGTTTGGCAGTGAAGCCATACTTCCTATGAATCAATTTCAAGAATTAGTGAAGGGTTTTGAACTCACCGGTCATCCCTTTTTGGCTGCACTGAAGCCACCTTTCGAGGCAGAGGCAGTTGAAGAAGCCTTACCTGAGGGATTCAAAGAGAGAACTCAAGAAAGAGGGGTGGTGCATGGAGGTTGGGTTCAACAACAACTGATCTTAAAACACCCTTCTGTGGGGTGCTTCGTTACACATTGCGGATATGGTTCTGTATGGGAGGGTTTGGTGAGTGAGTGTCAATTGGTGTTACTGCCCCATGTAGCCGACCAATACGTTCATGCCAGATTACTGAGTGCTGATCTAAAAGTTGGAGTTGAAGTCGAGAAAGGAGACGATGATGGTTTGTTTACAAAGGAGGGTGTGCATGAAGCCATAACGGCGGTGATGGAAGTTGACAGTGAAATTGGAAAGGAGGTGAAAAGAAACCATGATAAATGGAGGGATTTCTTGTTAAGCAAAGGACTTGAGGATTCTTATATGGATGGTTTTGTTGAGAACATGAGATCCCTTTTGGATAATTAAGT